ATAAAAACTTTGATTTACTTTGAGAGGAATTTTATTTTTCGAAGATGCACCATATCCCTTAAGTGGTCTTACTATGGGCTTGGTCGAACGACTTGCTTTATATATGACGGCGCATGCCCAGTGTCCCTTGCACGTGACATTTATGCTTTATATTTTATGATGTGACTATATTGTATGATGATGGTGCATGATATATGATGACGTGACTATGTTATATGATGATGTTACATGATGGCGGTGTATGATGATGATATGACGATGATGATGCATGATAACATAACGATGTAAAATGTAAAATTATAAGATTACTTAATATGACGTTATTCCATATTAAGACCAGGTGCATGTATTAAATGTCATGATGCATTGTAACGATGATTTCCTAAGACACAACCCTAGTTAATGTTAAACTCTTTAAATTGTTTGTATGAAAATAATATTATAAAAACATATATAAATATTTCAAGACTCGAATCCTGCAAAGTTTTTAATGTTCGCATGAAGTCTAACAAGTGGAGCATTGTAGAATTTAGCGAAATAGTTTTGTAGAGAATTGAACTTGAAATTGATGACATAGACGGTCATAGGTTGACTTCGATTTCAAAGGACAAAATCGAACTTTCGTTAAGGATAAATTGGTGATACCAGCTTAAACTAATCAAGTAAATGGTATTACTATTGATATTGTTAGAAATTGATGTTGTATAATGACACATGCCCTGTGTTTTAGCATGCATCATATACTTGATATGTGTGAAATGTTTAGGAAATGATATGACTATGATATGTTTATGAAATTATATGATTATGATATGTCGATGAAATGATATGACTATGATATGTTCATGAAATGATATGACTGTCATATGTTTGTGAAATGAAATAACTAGGCTATCTTTATGAAATGATACGACTATAATATAGTTATGCAATGATACGACTATGATGTGTTTATGAAATGATAAGACTGTGATATGTTTATAAAATGATACGACTGTGATATATTTATGAAATGATATAATTATGATATGATGATGTTAATGTTATGACACATGTTATAATGTGACATGCTGATTATATGATATATGTTATGGTGTAACACGTTTGACGATATAATGCATGTTGTTACATGTTTTATGATATGATACTTGTGTGATATGATATGTTGAAGGATATGTTATGTGCATGATATGACATAAGACCATCTGATATGAACCAAGAGACATCAATCATACAATATACTTTAATGAATATGTGAAGAAAATGTTGTCAAAATTATCAAAAGATGTTGAAATTCATGCACAGAGGAATGAAGTTTGATGATTATAAATTTTTGGTGGGTTACAATTTAGAGTTATTGTATTTCATTATTATATTTTAAGACTTTTAATTTACTTTAGGTTACAATTACATAATGGTTAATTATGGCCATTAAGTATGAATATTACAACTTTTAGTTGTTTCATTTTGAGGCTATATAAAGCATGTATGTTGTATTTGTAAGCTGGGAAAATATATTAAAAGAAGCATTTGTGCTTTTCTTTAGCCAATGGCTAAGTTTCTTTGCAATTCTACGTAATTTAGATTGCATGTAAAATCATTCAAGCTCGACATGATCATTCTTGCTTGTGGAGTGATTCGAATCTCAAACAAGTGTTCTTGCGTTGAGATATTTGATCAACAAGAATCATTCAAGCTAGACATGATCGATCTTGCTTGTGGAGTGGTTCGAATCTCAAACAATGTTCTTGCCTTGAGATATTCGATCAACAAGGTAATCTGAATCTTATTCCCTTGTAGTTGATTCTTTTATCTTATCACCATCTATGATATGAATGATACATATTCAACATCGACACATACCTTAAAGGCTATGTTGTAAAATGATATGGTAGACGGAAAATGGAAGGGGTTGTTTTACATGATAATGAATGAAAATGTTGGGACCTCATGCATTATTGTGTGTTCATGCATCGGGGAATATTCCATTTTTACGATGGTACGAACACGTATATTACGAGGTAGGAAAACAATCATTATGTCTTATCATAATGCTGCGATGGTCACTATTCCTACTGGGTGTCCGACAACAACTCTAGAGAATGCTAGACCAACCAAGAAAGGGACCAAAGAGGTGTGCGAGCCGACTGGTGGGCCTATACTCGCACGTGTGTGCTGTGTGTAAAATAGTAAATACACATCCAATTATCTGGTTAGGATAGTTACCTAAAGGAATACATATTGAAAGGATAGGTTTCATTCATGATTGTATGTGTTTGCATCTAACCCAATAGTGGGGTCACTTACAGAGTATTTCTTAAAATACTCAAGCAACGTGGTACTTCTACTTCATGTAAAAGCAAGGCATCTCTATACGACGGACGACAACATCGCAACAGACTATGACACATGCATAGGATACTTGTATTTATTTTCCTAGACCTAGGTTAGAATAGAGTGGTTGTACTTTTAATGTTTTATTTATTTTATTTCGTATTTCGTTATGTTGTTTTAAAGACGTTTTTGGACACGTAAGTTCATGACAATGTTTTATGCCAAAGTTTTAAATGGTTACTTCCTCACAAATGAGTACGTATGTATACAATAGCGACTTTAGGTTAAGTAGAAATCTAGGGTCGTTACACATAAGGACCTCATGCATTTTCTGTGTACATATACATCTGGTTATTTCCTCATTTATGATAATGAGTACGGACGCGTACACTATGATGATGATGATCCTGTCTCGCATGATACTAAGGGGTCTACTAACCTTCAGACGTTGCTACAGACAGCTAGCTAGACTATGATTGGTCTAGGGGGTGCGAATTGCCTGGAAATCCACGGTTGCACGTGTGGGTCGCGTGTAAGAAAGTACTACACATCTAATTTTGTCCAGACTAGAGAACACTCCTATGATGGTTTTAACGATAAGTCCCTAGATCATGAGTTGCATGTGTTTGCATCCCCTAACCCTAATACTGGGGCCACTTACCGAGTATTTATTAAAATACTCAAAGTGTGTTCTACTTCTATTTCAGATAAAGGCAAGACAACCCTCATACTACTGACGACAACATCGCAAATAGAGACCATGACACGTGCATAAGATAGTAGTATTTTATTTTCTTAGAATTAGGATAGTATAGGGTCTTTATATTTTTAATGTTTCAATTGTTTTATTTATTGTTTCTTTATGTTGTTTTAAGATACTTTCAAACGCTTAATTCCATAACAGTGTTTTAAGATGAAGCTTTAAACGTTTAATTCCGCATAAAAGTATGAGTTATGATGACAATAGCGACTTTAGATTAATAGACGTCTAGAGTCGTTACGGTCTATAAAGTTATTTATCGGAATTATAAATTATCAATTTTTAAATTAGTTTCTCTAGAAAACAATTAATGAAGTAAATATTAAATCAAAAATCAACTTTTGAAGATGGTTCTTCCAAACCTATTTATGACAATTTCATTAAAAAATAAAAATAAAAAAAGAGAGAAAAAAATATTTCTAGAAGGTGCTAAAAATCAAAGCCATAGGACCCCTTGGCAACCAGTCAATGTTTGATTGGAAAAATGGAATGCATCAATTTCACCATTGTGTAAAGGTATCAAAGTCTACACACCAAAAGAAAAAAATAATAATAATAATAATAATAATAATAATTAATTTGTAGGTGTTATTCTCATTGAATTTAAATAGTACCCATTTAAAATTTAACTATATTTTGTGAAAATATTTAAGTTCGCAACGAGCCGTTTTCGTTCTTCAGCTTTAAAGTGATGTAAGCATGCATATGATAGTAAACTTGAGTCTATCTAAGGTTTTAGAAATTGAGTCATTGTCGTCTGTATCAAACTGCGAAAAGTTTATGAATGTGAAATGAAAATAGTCATTGTATATCTTCGACTAAAGAAATCGTGACATCGAATACAAAAGGCGATCGATCAAATTCAATAGTATATAAAATGATCTAAACATAATAAGAAATAATGTCATTACTTTTTTTTTCGAATAATTATCTTCTAACTTTATAAAAGTTAAAGTTTATTCTATGAAAATGTTGTTTTCAAAGACAGATCACCAGCCAAAATAAACTAAAGTTACATTAAAAAATTGCAACTTGCAGAAAATCAGAGCAATGGTAGGGTTCTAAAGGGCCGAAGTCAAAGTTGTCTAATTAGAACAAATTGAAAAAAACATGCACCAATTTGACCATTTGGCACTAGAATTTGTAACGTTTCTTTAATCAAATCCGAGATACGAGATAGGATCACGATCTATCTTCATATTTCCACAACGATCAAATAATCGTTACTTAGATTCCTTATCATAGATTCTCCACGTCACTTCTTATCGACGTTGGAAATTGCCCACAATCGAAATATGTCGAAACAAATAACTGAAGCGGAAGAATAACTTGAGAGTCGAAACTGGAAATTGACACGATCGAAATATGTCGAAACAAATAACTGAAGCGGAAGAACAACTTGAGAATTGAAATTGGAAATTGTTCACGATCGAAATATGTCGAAACAAATAACTGAAGCGGAAGAACAACTTGAGAGTCAAAATAGGAAATGAAGCAGAAGAACAACTTGAGAGTTGAAATTGGAAATTACTCACGACCGAAGAATGTCGAAACAAATAACGGTTAAGACTTTTCTCAAGTTAATAACTACTCGATCTTTATCCAAGTTAATAACTTCTTTTGCTAAGTCAAACTTATTAATTCGCATTATCCACGTCACTTCTTATCGACATGAGACTATATTAGTATATAAAAAAACTAGTAACGAGCTCGAGATATAACTATCAAACCCCTCGACAAGTCATCGGTGAGACTAGCTTTTCTCCTCTTGCCACCATTCTTGACTTTGCAGCTGGCCTACAACCCTTGTTCTTCATCTTTCGTCTCAAGTTTTCTGCATTCAAATTAAAGAAAATGGAAACCCCACAACTTTCCTAAAGGCACCATAATGTAATACTCAAAATCAAAATCAAATCAGATCAAATCCATTATCTTCTTCATATCTTTTACTTTAAAATACCCACTAAAACTCCCAACTTTTTGTGTTCTTTGTTCTTTGGAGAGTTCCCCACATATGTTTACATGAAAAACAGCAAAGAACAAAGATCTAAGATACAAATTCCTATTTTTTCTGTATGAATCAAAAGAAACCAGACAGATTCTTCGCTGTTCTTTGGTTTTTTTTCACCAAGATTCGAGTATAAGACTTGAGGCCTCTGCAACAGATTGCGAGTGATTATGGTCGCCTTCGTATGTCACTATTAACATACTTGGATCATCTGAGGCTCTCTCAACGTGCTTTCTAGCTGGACATCCTCTTAGACTGCTACACTTATAATAGCCTCTGCATATTACAAATCTCCCATTATAAACTCACCAAAAGCTTCATGATTTCTATGAACTTTGAGGAATTTAACCATTACCTTGGATATGGAGAACCCTTTATTGGCTTCTGTCCATACTTCCTCCATGAATAATCATCCGGAGGAATATCAGCGTTCTTTGAGCTTATGGCTGGCACTCTCACCACCCTTTTTAGCCTCATTTTCCTGCTATTCATTCAAATCAAACACATGGGTTTTGTTTGTTTAGTTCATATCCATCGAAAAGATTAGAGAAATGCTTAAATTCCCACAAAAATATCAGAGCCTGAACCGTCAAAAACTTGGTAAATTGTTGAGGATTGTTGGGAAGGAGTTTACACCGACTAATTTAGGGAATGATCATGAGTTTCTAAGTAAGAAATACATCTCCTATGAGTCCTTTTGGAGAGCCCAAAGCAAAAGCCGAGTAAGCGATATCATTGTGAAGAGTCTATATTCCTAACATGGTATCAGAGGTATCAGAGTCATGCCCTTAACTTAGTTATGTCAGTAGAATGCTCAAATGTCAAATAAAGAAGTTGTGAGTCTCGACGGTATAGTCAAAAGTGACTCAAATATCGAACAAAGGGTGTACTTTGTTCAAGAACTCTAGAGAAAGAATCGAGCCTTCATTAAGGAGGAGACTGTTTGAGAGCTTCGTAGGTTAATTTAGGGAATGATTATGAGTTTATATTTATAAGTAAGCCCAAAGCAAACCACTACCGCTTATGTTTAAGGCCTAGGTACAAAGACAACAATATCAGGCGAGGAGCTATTCCTAACAATTCCCACAAAAAATCAGAGCTCAAATCGCTCGAAGCTACTAAGAACAAGAAAGATTTTGAGGTACCTCTTCTTAGAGCAGTGGCAACGACCACCGGAGGACACAGAGCACTTCCCGGAGCCCAAATTCTCAGACCCGCACTTCCTCTTGAGACCAGAAGAAGCTCTGGAAAGATCAGTAATCTGAAAAGAAGAGGAAGAGGGTTCGTGTTGGAGGTTAATTTCAGAGTCGGCACCAGGAATCGAGGTCAAAAACGAGCCATTTGGAGCAGAGGAGTACGAGAAATTGATGGTGGTGGCGGATTCCAGGCGCTCAACGGGCGGAGGGATTTGTTGAATGGGCGTGGCGTTGTAGATTTTAGAGGAATCCAAAGGGGCTCGACGGAATCGAGCGTGGCCAGTTCTGGGTGAGCGGCCGAGGAGAGAAATGGCCTTTTTGAAGTGAGAGACGGCGGAGTTAGCGACGGCTTGGCAATCGGAGTCGAGATTTGAAGGATGAGAGTGAGAGAGTAATGTGATGAGGTTTTTGAGGGTGTGGAGGCCGGTGGCGGCTTCTTGGACGGCGGAGTCTTGGTCCATTGAGGCGGAGAGTTGGGTGTTTGTGCAGGCTGAGAGGAGCTCCACCGCCATTGATGGAGGTGGGAAATGGGTCAAAAGGTGAATTGGGAATTGGGAAGTGATTTAGTTGAAGTAGGCATTGATATAAACAAAAAGAAAAGGAAAGTGTTAAAAGCAACAATGGAGTCATCCTGTGTGTGTTGTCGTTTCATTGACCATTGGTATGCAACCCGTGAGTGATGGGTCCCTCTCTACTAATTTCTCTTTTATAATTCTTTCTTGAAGAACTACTTTTGTGGAAGAGGGTATTGGGTAGTTTTGTTTATTTGAATTAGGTTTGAATGGACAGTTCATATGAGAAATTGTTCAAGTAGCTTCAACCTTGTCGCTCTAGTTTTGGAATGGTTGAACAAATTTAAAAACTTTATTTTCAACTCCGATTGAATAATCGTTTCATTGACCATTGGTATGCAACCCATAAGTGATATAGAAATGTATGAGACTACGTCCCAATAAAAGTGATCATAAGAATAGGATGATTAAGAAATGGTTGCATCTGAGGCCATTAGGTGTCCCATCTGGATTTCAAATCCTGGAGATAAAGCGTTACAAATGGTATTAGAGTGGTATGGAGAAGTAGATGAATGAAGTGAGATATTTCTAAGATGTATGTGAGGCTATTAGGTGGCAAATCTACAAATGGTATTAAAGCGGGGTATAGAAAAATATGAATGACATGTGATTTTTTTTGGATGCATGTGAGTCAATCAAGTCCCCAATTTAGATTTCAAATCCTAGGCATGAGGCGTTACAAATAGTATTAGAGTGGTACGGAGAAATATATGAATGAACCGAGTCCACATTCGAATGACAGCAAAAGAAAATTGAAAGATACTATTTGTAATAGTCTAAGCCGATCGCTGGTAGATATTATTTGTTTTTGCTTATTATGTATCGTGTCAGCCTCACGATTTTAAAACGCATTTAGGTTTCCACGCCCTTATAAAAAATGTTTTGTTCCCCTCTCCAACTAATGTGATATCTCACAATCCACCCCCCTTGGGGGCCTAGCGTCCTTGCTGGCACACCGTACAGTGCTTGATTTTGATATCATTTGTAATAGTTCAAGCTCACCGCTAGTAGATATTGTCCGTTTTGGCTCGTTACGTATTATCGTCAGTTTCACTGTTTTAAAACACGTCTACTAGGGAGAGGTTTTCACACACTTATAAGGAATGCTTCGTTCTCCCTCCAACCAAGGTGAGATCTCACAATCCACCTCCCTAGGGGCTAGTGTTCTTGCTGGCACACAGTCAGGTGTCTGATTTTGATATCATTGTAACAGTTTAAGCTCACCACTAGTAGATATTGTCCGCTTTGGCTCGTTACTTATTGTCGTCCGTTTCACTGTTTTAAAACACGTCTACTAGGGAGAAGTTTCCACACACTTATAAGGAATATTTCGTCTCCCCTCCCCCCCCCCCCCCCCCCC